AAGGGCTAAATCCTCAGGCCTACATGTGTGTTCAGACAGCTAAGAATTCTGGCTGAAAGCAAGTATGGAGTGGACTCTGGCCTTGAGCAACAACATGTGCTTGCCCCCAGAAAGGAGGATAGCACTGGTATAGCGCTTACATTGTTGCTGAAATCCAAGAAGGTATAGCATATGTTGCTTCACTGAACTGAGCCTGGAGATAGGGAAGATGAACACTACACTCATGAGCAATAGCAGGAGCAGAACCCAGGTTGTCTCCTGGACCAGCGTCAGCACCGCGCTCCACCAGGAGCTCCCCAGGGCACCTTCCTGTTACAAATTAGAAAAGTGTTCACTGCGGTGGGGCCTGGGGCTCTGTGCTCTCCTGCAGCACAGTTCATACATAGTAGTAAGCAGAGGAAGCGCTCTCATGCCTGGCTGCTCCTGCAACATCACTTCTTAACACGCTTTTTTAGAGAAAGATTTGGAAGCCTGTTCAGCCTGTCAATCTGCTGCTGTGTCAACATGAGAAAGTTAAGCAATTCCTCTCTTGAATGAATCAGTATATGTTTCCCAGAAAAGAAAAAAAAAGAAAGAAAAAAAAAGAAAAAAAAAAAGGGAAAGGCTGCATTCCTTTATGCTGCTGATGAGAAGCATTCGGTTGGGTGGGCAGGCTTCTCATGTTCAGTGGTATATGAGGTATCAAGGACTTTTCTTTAGCATTTGCTAGCCTAATTGTCTCTCCAGGTAGGTAAGACATACGTCAAAGATAATATGCTTCTCATATGTGGCACTGCTAATTTCTGCCCAACTCTGAGGAATTTTTGGGAAAATTGCTCAGTACTTAGATGAGGACACAGTTATCCCTCTGCTTTCCATGTACTGCTTGCAGATTTTTTTTCTAAGAAAACATGAAAGGAAGAAAATAACTTTTTAGAGAACCATTCAGTGAGGCTTTTAATTAAACATCTGTACAAGAGTAAAGTACAGGAGTTCAGTCAGGACACTTTATTTGTAAAGGGTTTGCATGTGATGGCATGGAATGCCCTGGGTCTTTAGCTGCAGGAAGTTGCAAATGTAGTGACTTGGGCTTTCAAGTACTTCAAGGGACAGAGCAGATGTCTAAGAATGCTGTGTTCTGGTTACATTTGTTTAATAAAGTACTAATATATAAAGTGACTTTGACCAAGTATTCTTCAGTGCCAGGAACTCTTGCTCATGCAGCCTTTTCTAAAACCCCGCACTTCTTTGTACAGCAGCTGTGCCAGAACAGCCTTGCAGGCCCCTACTCTGATTGTCCCTGAATAATTCTCATATTCAACATCAAACAACCCAAGCAGCCCAGTTTCTCTATCTGCCAACCTTGTGAAAACAACCCCACCTTTCTCCTTCCCCCATACTGTTACTAGCAATAAAGGCTCAGAAGGCTGCTGATAGTAATAAATCAAACAGTGCCAAGGACTGAGGCCAGGCGCTGGCACTCGCATGCCCGTGCTGTTAACTGTCCAAACTATCCCTGGTGCTGCTGAGTCCATTGCCAGCAAGCACTAACCTGAACAATCCCTGGCACAGCTCAGGAGCCAGCACTAGCTCCTAGGAGGTGGCTTGCATGTGGCCCAGCTGCTGTGGCACAGAGGAGCTCAGTGGTGTGGAGGTAGCTTGCCTGTGCCAGTTGGCCGTGGCGCCTCAGCGCAGCCCTGGACGCATTTAGCTTATTAGTACAGATGTAGCCATTATGTCTTCAGGAACACCCCTGCAATTCTAAGGCTCATTTAAAAAACAAAACAACGAAAAAACACTCAGGACAAAAACCCATGTGATTTAACGTCAATAGTATTTTACCCTTGTTAAAACTGACGGCAGTCAGAAAAGCATGTATGCAAACATGGCAACACTATACAACCCATCTCCCTGTGGGTCTTATGAGTTACATCTCTTTGCTTTGTTCATTAAAATGAGTGTTTATTGCACTTTGGTCCCGTTAACAATGCATAGACATTACATCATATCCTAACTCACTATGAAAGGTTTCCACTATTTAAAGGTTTAAAGGGATATGTACAGGCTCAGTTACCCCTGCTGGGGTGAAAAGTGGGATATTAATTATAAGAATACCTTGCACTTGCATAGGAGCTTTCAGCCAGACATTTTAAAACACTTTGCAAAGGAAGATTAATATTAGTGACTTCCATAGAGAGGCTGGGGATGGATGCATCTGAGTGACTTGGTGAAGGAATCATAGCACATCAGAAAGCAGCAGTAAGGCTCAGGGCTTCCCCAGCCACAGATGATGGCCTCTTGGCAATGTGATGGCTCTGGCAGAGGCAGATGCAAATGGATGAACCTGCTGGAATGAAACAAGAATGAAACTTTAGCCTCAGGCTCGAACAGAACAGAAATTTTTTTGAGACTTAGAAACCATCATTAAACGGTTCATTTTTTCTTTTTATAAAATTTTCTCACGCTTCTGCACTTCCTGATTTAGGGTTGGATGGGAACCAGAAAATAAATACTGAAATACCATGAGAAAGGTTATTCTTGTGGTATTTTCACCCAGTCTGAAAGTGTGGCGTACTCATGAGAAAGCATGTCCTAGCAAAATTTCCACAGCAGAGGTTCACATCGATCCAAGCAAGTACCAGACGGTCTGTGAACTTCTGACTTCTGGTAGGTTCCTACATGGTTTTCTATTTAAGAAGAAAAGAGATTGAGATCTCAACACCATCAGCAAAGGACCTGGACTAATCTCTTGGGAGGGGGCAATGCCCTCGGCAGGTACAAAGCAGGAACTTCACTCATGGCCATGCTGAAACCACAGAGAGCTCCCAGTCCCTTCCCATAGGGCAGAGCCAGGCTCTTTGGAAGTGTCCTCAGCGCCCCGTTCTTCACAGTGCCTGGAAACAGCCTTGTTGAGAGCAATGCCAAAAGAAAAAGCTGTGGGGGAGGCCAGCTCTCAGAGGACAAAAGGCCCTGGGAATTTGGCATCATTTTTAATATACTTGGTACCAGGCCTTGTAAAATATTTCTGTAGCAGAACTGTACAGGTGCAATGGCTATACTTGCCTTATCCTCCTATTAGGAAGAATGGAGTGATCGCGTGTCCAATTGCTGTGCCAACACAGAACAGCTGAGGCTATCCAGGGAAGGTGAAGGGCAGCTTGCCATGGCACAGCATACACATACCCCTGTTTCCACTCCCATGTAAGACAAGCCTTCCTCAGAGCCTTCCTGCCTGTCCCAGGGCTTTGTGCTGCTGAAGGTAATTGTGTTGTAAAATATTAACAGCAAGCACCAGAAGTCATCATCTCCCTGTTTGGGCTTCTGCTAGTTCTGCTCTTAGAAAGGACTATTACCATGGTTAGGAGCATGACAGAAATCTAAAGACCAGTATGCCTGAAGTATAAAGTGAAGTTTCTGAGACATAAATCAGAGGAAATAGTTGTTTTGAACTTGTCCTCTAAATTCCCTCCACTAGTCCATGCCCAGAAATGGACACTCCTGAGTGGATGTGTGCACATGACTAAGATAGTTGTTTCCAGACAAGCAAATCTTTTTTTGGACAAGAGTTGTCTCTGTAGAAGCTCTGTAAAGAGACTACTTTATGGGTGAAGTTAGATTTCTGTCTCTTATGTAGCTAAAATGTCACCTGAGGGGAATATGTGTGTCCTGTAGATGAGTGCTGGAGGGAATGCAAAGGGAGGGAGGGATAAAACCTGGTCTGCTGGTTTGCAGTCTGACTTGTCAGCCAGAAAAATGGAGTTGGGGAAGCATCTGAAATTTGTGGTAAGGCTGATATTAGCTACAAACAAGGAAGAGAGAAATTCTTGGGGAAGTGAGGCTGTAACAAAAAAGAATGAGTCTGTATGGCAAAACAGGAAAGATTCAGGCTGGAAATCTGAAAAATCAGAAGTTCTGTCAGATTAACAAATGCACCCACTTGTCATCCTCAGTGATCTGGAGTACTCTTCTGTGTCTCTCTAGCCCTGATGCTAGACTGTTTAAATCAATTAGGCTCTCCCATGATAAATTCCTCATCAGCCTGGTTGAGGACTTTGTGAGGCCAGCTGTCAACCTTCCATTGAGGCTGTGATCTCCATGTCCTTACATGACAGGAAATGGAGCTGTTCCTGATAGAAGCTACTGCTCATCAGGAAAACATGGCCTCTACTATTAATTAATGCATACCAGACTGTTCTTAAATAAAACACTGCTGGTAGAAGCAGTTCTTTTAAATCAACAGAAAGGGTTTTTGAAGGTAAAATTTGTTGCACAGCCTGAATATCCAAGCAAAGGAGAAACACGGGGCAAGAATCTTCCTTGTTCTTCTGTATGACCGTAAGTTCAGCTGTGTGGATGAAACTGGTCTCTCTTCCTGGACAATGCAGGAGAGGAAACTGGCAAGAAAGAGCATAATGCAAGCAGAGCTTAGCTGGAATACTGTCAGGAATATCCCAGTCTCTGGCTGGAGTAGCTCAGCCACAGCAGGTGCAATACTTGTCAACAAGGCAGCTTGTGCAAGCTAAGTGTCCATTTTTGGGAAATCTCAGAATAGAAGTCAGTGGATTGTTAAAATGCTTCCTGGGATGGTGTGGATTGGGTAACTACTGAATCCAAATATTGCATTCCAGATGTGACCACCTGCATCTGGAACAGAGTATGTAACCTATGGTGATTTGTTCCTGAAGCTTATCCTCTTTTCTCTTGCATGCTCCAGGTCCCAACCTACCACCACAGCTCTGTGGAGAGGGGCATATCCCCATACAGCTTGAACTGGAGTTCATTGGTCTGCTACTGTGATTTGGACCACTCACTGACTGTGCAGTGTGTGCAGGCAGGCATGCAGCTCCAAAGTACAGCCGTTCTGTCCATCAACATCCTCCCTGGAAAAAATAACAATAAATCATGGTTTGCCTTTGCTCCCTCAGTTCACAGCCAGATCTCATCAGTGAGTATCTGGGAGAAATGAGAGAGCTGGCAGAAGAGATGCTTCAATTTCCTGAAAGGTCAAGTAACCGGAGCCATCCTCCTTCTCTAATGGACTGCAAGTCATGCTGTAGGAGCAATTGTCTTTAAACTCTCTGCAACTTTGCAGTTCAAGAGGTTAGAAATTACTTTCTATTACTTTCTAGTCTATTTACTTTCAAGTCATGAAAAGCAGTTCCTTGAAAAGAACCATCAAGGTCCTGGGAATCTGAAAAGTAATTAGAGAAGCACAGTAACTCTCCATACAGAGATGGGCATGGCTGCACAGAGCTGATAAAATGAGAGCAGAGCAAGCTTGCAAGGGAATGAGGAGAATGGGGGGAGAAGGGTGGTATCACTGGCTTGTTATTAAATCTGTTCTTGACCTGGGTTGACGATTTCCATGACTGTTTTGTTCCAGGGCTCAAAGGAAGCCTCACACTGCTCTCCCTTGCTGATGGAAAACAGGAATGAATATTTAACTGGCAATGATGACGAATGAAGATTTCACATTAGAGCGGGGTTCCTGGGACTGTCCCATTCTCCTCTTCACCCACTGTGTTGCTCTCTCTGTGGGTCACCATCAGAGAAGGGGATACAACAAAGCCTGAGAAACCTCCCATGTCTGAATGTAAGGTGCACCTTGCCTGCCAGGTCCATAGGTACCTAGCTGCATGCCTGAATGTTGGATAGCTGTCCAGCAAGAGACTTCATCTCCTCTTCACTGTGCCATGAATCCTGGCACCACTGTAGTAGGTAGAGAGGGGAGCATGGGAGAAAGTTGAGCTGGTAGAGGAAAATTAGGGAGTGGGAGAAGGGTTGTCTTTGCTTTCACTTTAGATATCTTAATTGAGGAAATACCAGACTGAATTCATGGACACGTCCTCAAGAGGGAGGGAGACAGAGAGAGGAAAATATTTGAGAAAATGCAGTTTGACTTCCTGGAAGATTAAAAAAAGTATATACATCAATTGATATATTTGTCTATCTGCCCATCTGTTTTTTATCCTGAAATAACAATTTAGGACTTATTGTTTTTAAGCACAAAATGACACCTAAGAAGTTACGGTACCTGAATTTATATTTTGAAGTAGATTCTTGCCACATTTCAATCTGCTTTCAATCATGTTTTTACAGAAGTAGCAATTTTAGTAGCTTTGTATTCATATCTTGGAGCAGATCTGGACTTGTTTCTCTACACCTCACACACATCCATACAACTCATATGTATACATGTAAAAATATATACACACACATGTAAAGGTGATACTGAAATGATAAATTGTATTTACAGTGCACCTTTGACCACCCCAGCTGCACTTTGCTTGCTAATTCATTTCTAATGGGCCTGCTTTCTGCAATCAAAAACTCTGTCTTCAAACAGCCACTGTCATATTTTGGAAATCAACCTGTCACAATAGATGTTTCTGTCTTTCTTTCCATGAAAAGCACTCTTCCATTCTGAATTGTAGGACAGGTGAAAATCATTCCTGGATTAGTAATAGGCTTCAGTTCTGAAACCACTGAAAATCTTCCTTAACAGAATAGTGCTTATTTCAATGTTTTAGATCAAAGTAATTTTTAAATCTTACTTTATAGCATTCTGTATACACTATGAAATTAACAGAAAAAAATCATGTGAGGATATGGGGTGGCCTCACTGCAGCCTTTCAATACCTAAAGGGAGCCTACAAACAAAAGGAGAGTCAATTCTTTACAAGGGTAGATAATGGCAGGACAAAGGGAAACGGTTTTAAGTTGAAGGATGAAAGATTTAGGTTGGATATCAGGGGGAAGTTCTTTACTATGAGAGTGGTGAGGTGCTGGAACAGGCTGCTGGGCTGCCTGGTATGGTGTTAAATGGGGAGGTTGGTGCATGTGGCAGGGGGGTTGGAGATTGGTGATCCTGAGGTCCCTTCCAACCCTGGCCATTCTGTGATTCTGTGATTCTATTAGACTATGGGAAGTTTGCTCTTATTAGAAATCAGCATACTGGAGTTATTTCTTTTCCCCTTGTTTATGAAGGTAGGCAGCTTAGATAATGTGATTTTCAAAAAAGATCTCTGAAAGCCATTACAATATTTAAAATTATAAAAATATTACATTTGTGAATAAAATCTGAGTTGAAATGTGTTTGCTTTTTTTCTCAAAATGTCCTTATGCTTCTGTGCCTGTCTATGTCTGTCATCAACAAATTGCACATAAACTAAATACTCATTTTTTCAATGTTCATTATCAGAAAATATCCTCAGCTAAGTAACAGCTCTTTTATCCTTCCCATATGTGGACATTTTATTCTGTCTCTGGGTACTTGAGAAATGAAAACTTGTGGCCTTCATTAAAATGTAAGGAATGTCCTCTGTAGATGTAGAGGAAGCTGGCTTGGAAGACATTCAAGCACAGTTGTTTGCAGGGAAGATTTCAGCACGGGTCAGAGGTGAGTTTTTGATTACCCACCATCGCTCTACGCCATGGTTGGCTTCCATCTTTTTCCTTAGTGTCATGTCCTAGAAGGCCCCTTTACACGAGCAGCTGCTTTCTGAATTATCCTCTCCTATGGCAGTGTTGGCTTATTCACCAGGAAAAGCTAAGAGAGGGCTCAATGATCAAAAAGGCACTTCACAGACAGCACAGTACCCTAAATGCTGACATCTCCTCTACTATCAGCTGAGCACCTTGCACATGAATTAGAAGGTAGATTAATTTATCAGCAGTTGTGATTAATGATGCCAGTAAAAGGAGCCCAACTATTCATAAATCATGGTTCAGGTTCCTCCTCCTCAGCCTGGCTTGTGCAGCTGCTTTAAAAATCATAATGTGTAATAACAAAGCATTAAAGCATTGGGATTCCTTTCACTTGCTCTGGTTCTTCAGCCAGGCTTGAATCACTGGTATAGCTACTGCACTAAGGGACCCTGAGATTTTTTGCACCACAGAAACTAAATGCCCCTTTCTTCCCCTCCTGAATTCAGCTGGTATTCCTTAATCCCAGTGTTCCAGGTGCTCTGCATTGCAGAAAAGCAGCAGATTTTGCTGGCATTGTGGAAAAAAAAAAAAAGTAATAAAAGAATAATTGGCAGCTTTGCAGTGTCCAAATTAAGAGAAAGCAAGAGAAGAAACTGAATACAGTAGGAAAAAAAAACAGGAAGAAATAAGCAGAAAAATGTTGTGCTGAATAGCATTTTCCCTTTTAGTTTAAATGGGATTTTCTTTTTAACATCCTCTAAAGGACTTCTTCTGGGTATAATTCTCTCCAATAGCTTTACTAGTGATGTTGTGTTTTTACCATAATCTGTTAGTCAAGCATGAACCAGGATCTCTGTGGGTTCCCATCCCCAGCCTTTTTGAAGACTAAATAGTTCCATTCTCTCCCCTCATCTGCTGCTACAGGAAAAGAAAAGAAAAAAATGTAGGAAATTTGGATCCTTCTAATCCTGGCTTGGAAATCTTGCCTTGGGTGATGAAGCCGGACTGTGTCATTCTAGCTGACATTTACGTTTAGTGTAGTGAGAGTTAAATGCCAATATCTGGCATTGGTACACTGCAATTAGCAGTATCATTTGTTCTCATCTGTGCGGTCTGAGCTTTGTTTTGTTTTTGTGCGTGAAAGACTTGTTGAGATGGATTTCTACTGCAAGGTTTATAGGAAAAAAAATCTACTTTTACAATGAAAAATTGTTGTTCTGATGATAGCTATAAACTATAATGCATAAAAGATGAACCATTCTACCAGTGCTACGAAGTTCCCTCAGGGCAACTCTGGAATTAGTTATAAAAGGCTTTCAGGGTTGTTCGTAACTTTGAGTTCCTCTTAGGTACCTGTAAAAAAGAGCCAAAGGTTTTGGTCTTGCTCTGAGCACAATATGGGCAGTCTTGGGAAGTCAAGACAGCACTGGGTAGACACTGAGTCTGCCTTTCTGGAGCTTACTGCAGGATCCAGTCCAGTTTTGTTTCGGAGCTGCCATTCTTGTTCCTGCTCATGTTGTTCAGCTGCTCTGAGCTAGAACTCAGGCAGGAATAAGGCTTCATGCAGCCATGTTGCTCTGGCCTTGCTTTGAAGCCTCTGCTGCCAAACTCCACGCAAAATAGCCAGAGGACGACTTTGAAAATACTTTATGCAGGAGACATGGAGGGCTATTAAAACACAGGGCCAGATCCTGATCCTCCCACTGGGCAGGCACACGTCCCAGCCTGAGCTCTGTCGCCTGGCATGGCTCCACACCGAGGAACAATGCTCATGTCCAAGGCTGCTGGCCTGCCTGGGTGGCAGTGCAGGCATCCTGGGGGCTGCAGACAGCACACAGCAGAGAGGTCACTGAGGTCTCCAGGCTGTTGGCTGCATGGCAGGCACTAGCTGATGTATGGTGTTGAAGGGAATGTGGGGCTGTCTGGCCAGGCATATGGGGCCTTGCCTACCCTGGCTGCCACTTGGATGGGTTTGGGATATGAGCTCTGGCACAGGGCTCTGAGCTTGCCTGTGTCTCTTTTACATCCTTAAAGCCCTGCAGCAAGAGATTGGTTCATCCAAGCATTCCTTTGCCACCTTGAGAGTGGCAGAGGAGATTAAGCACATCCTAGTGGATTGGCTTAGCATCCTCAGGACCATTCTGTTACACTTCATAGACCTCCTGAGTGTGCCCAATGGGTCAGACTCCCAGGCAGTAGCTCAGTCTGTGGTGCTCACCACCAGTGGCAACTGCAATGCAGAAATCTTGCTGAAGAACATGGCCCATACCCCTCACTTCCTTCTCCCCCCTTTCCCTCCACTCATGCCCACCTCAGCTCCTTGCATACACTCTCTGTTGTGCAAGAAACACAAACCTAAAATGCAATACACAAATTAAGTTAATTATCCAATTAATTGTAGCTACAACACATCTGCTATTGTTTCATGGGCTCTTCGTAAAATTTAAAACACATTTAAGGGAAAAAAAGAAGGCAAAACAAAATACAAAAAAGATCTCTCTGCCAGGGCAAATCTTCAGCAGGCTATGAACAAATAAAACATCTGTTTAAAGTAAATTGGGGCTGGGGAGGACGGGCTGGAGACAATAACAAGAGCAAGAAAGAATAATGACAAGGCGAAATCCCAAAGAATTACACTCCCACTTTGAGCCAGGGGCAGCTCTCTTGTTGCTGTGCGGGGCTCTTTAATGAAAGCTGTGAGTGAGGTAGCTGATCTTCTGAAAGTTAAATTATCGCCAAAAAAAAAAAGCCAAAAGAAAAGCCATTGAGCCCTGTGTCTTCGTGGTGTTTGTGATCAGAGGTGGTCGGGATGTAGGGGGGTGGAGTGAGAGGAATTAAATCTATGACTAAACATTTTTCACAGCAACAAAAGGACAGCGATTAAGAGATAAATTAATGCTCTGGCAACGCTTCCTGTTTTGAAGGATGCAGCAGCGGGTAATGAATGGCTGTGCTTGGAGCGGGCCTGAAGAGCCTCTCGCAGAGCTCTCAGCTCCAGCCAAACTGCAGCAAGCTGGCCGTCCACGCCTCCAGCTCCTGCAGGAAACACACTTAAAAAATCTTTGGCAACCTCCGTGCCCCCATTTTCCCCAGGGTTGTCCTCAGTCGTTTGATCTCTTCTTCTTTCCCTCTCTCCCCTACTCCTAACCTTTTCCAATCCCCCCTCCCTCTGGGCCTGAAGTCTATTTTCAGTGCTCTGCTGTTGAAAGGGTTTGGGAGTTTTGTTTTCAGCAAAATGTTTCCTTGAGAGCTCCCGCCCTGTCCCCGGCCCTACATCATGGCCTCACGGGTTGTGCTTGACCCTGGTGTGGTGCACAGGGCTGCTCTGCCACCCAGCCCAGGCCAAGCTATGTAATAAACACCATCTCATTTCCATAAGTGGCTGCATCCTTGTGCTCGCTCGGAAGGCACAACAAATCTGTCCTGCTCCTTGTCCCTGGGTTCTGGGGGACTCTGTGGGGAGTGAGAGCCTGACAACCATCTGCCTGCGCAGCAGGGCTGGGCAGGTC